TTGTCAAATAATTTTTCATGTTAGTTGTTTCAATTGCATAGTTTCTCTTCCTTTGAACTATAGCATGTTGGCTTTAATTGATTTTTCAAATAGAACCAGTCTTACATTCCTGAGAGAAACCCCACTTGGTTATTGCATATTATTCTTTTCTTTTCTATTATTTTAGTGAGGATTTAAAAATCTATGTTCAGGAGGGATATTGGTCTACAGGTTTGTTTGTTTCTTTTGCTTTGTCTTTGATTGTTTGGGTATTGGGTCAATGCTGACTTAATAAAATAATTTAGAAAGTATTCCTTTCTTCCCTATTTTCTGTGCGTTAAAATAGAATTGCTATTTGTTCCTTAAATGTTTGGTAGAATTCCCTAGAAGAACCATCTGACCTTGAGATTCCTTATTTTAGATACAGAGGGGTTTTCTTTTTTGGGTGCTGGAGATTGAACCTTTCTTTACCTATTAATTCACTGACCTGAGGAACCCTATGTGGCCAAACGACAGTCTCCTCTTCAAGCTTAGCGGAAAGATCATCTTGTCCCTTGATGGAATCATTTCTTCTTTTGGCACTGATGACTCCAGACCAGTGGATCTCAACCGATGATGATTTTGCTCCCTCTGAGTACATTTGGAACTGTGTGTGTCACAACTGGGGAGCAGGTGCTACTGACATCTAGTGGTGGAAACTGGGGATGCTGCTGAACAACCTACCCTCCTACAACGCTCAAGACTGTCCCCCATAACAAAGGATTATCTCATGCCAAATGACAATAATGCTGAGGCTGAAAACCCCTGCTCTAGTGCTCACTTCAGCAGCACAGATACTAAAACTGGAACGACACAGGGAAGACTAGCATGGCCCCTGCTCAAGGATGACATTCCATTTTTTTTTTTTTTTTAAAGAGAGAAACGGGGGTGGGGGGGGGAACCCTGCTCTAAATCAGCAAAGCTCAAATTGTGGGGACAGGTGGTAAATTTTTTTCAAGGGCATCACTAGGGATTATGTGAAGAGGATCTATTCTCATTTACACCCCTTAATGCCCAGAACCATAAATCCTGGCGATGGGAGAAACGGCACCATTTATTGATGATGGCTTATTTGTAGCACATGTCCACAAGGTATTGCACCTAGCTGTCCCACCATTTTCTTATGTCAGCTATTTTTATTTTTTGCTAAAATACATGATATAAAATTTGCCATTTCAACCATATTTAAGTGCTTAATTCAGTGGTATTATGTTCATACTCTTGTACAATCATCACTATTATCTATTTCCAAACATTTTCATCACCCTAAACAGAAACTCTGAGACCATTAAGTAATAATTTACTATTCCCCTCCCCCTGCAATCCCTGGTAATTCCTAATTTACTATCCCTCTCTATAAATTCGTCTATTTTAGGTATTTGAGTGGAATACTGCAGTATTTGTCCATTAGAGTCTGGCTTACTTCACTTAGCTTACTGTTCTCAAGGTTCAGCCACATGATATAACCATTCTTTTTGGGGGGTGGTAAATAATGTCCCATTTTATGTCTATATCACACTTTGTTTATCCATTCATCAGTGGATGGAGATTGGGGATGTTTCCACTGCTTGGCTGTTATAAAAAATGCTGCAGTGGTACAGCACTTGTCTCTCACATGTGAGGCACTGGGTTCGATCCTCAGCACCACATAAAAAATCAATCAATCAATCAAATAAAGGTATTGTCTACAAGTAAAAAAATTTTTTTTTAATTCTGCAGTGAACATAAGTATACAAATAAGCTTGAGTCCTTGCTTTAATGTTTTGGTTGTACACCTGGGAGTGAAATTGCTGGGCCATATGCTAATTTTATATTTCGCCAGCTGCTTTGTACTTAGCGAGTGATCATCACTTATCTATGGCTGTAGAGCAAATTATCCCAAAACTCTAGCTTTATTCAGTAGGCATTTATATACTACTATTCTCTGTGGGTCAGGAATCTGGGAGCTACTTAGCTGGGTAGTTCTTTCCCAGGCTCCTCGTGAGGTTGCAGGGGTGATGTCTTCTGGCTCGTCCAGCTCTGGAAGATGCTTCCTAGGTGCCTCACTTGCATTGCCAGCTCCCCAAGGCTGCATGAGAATTTCATGACATGGTGACTGACTTTTCCCCAGGCCAGTGACTTGAGAAAGTAAGGCAGAAAATGCACTGGTTCTTCAGACCTGGCCTGAGGAATCAGGCACCATGCCTTTTCCAGGCTGTGTTTGTTAGGAGTCTGTCAGGGAATCTAGTCCACATTTTAGGACAGGGGACTATGAGTTCAGCTTTCAAAGGTAAAAATGCTAAAGAGTTTGTGAACATAGTTTATATCTACCACATCATTCATTTCAATATTTTATTTTTTATTTCTAGAAGTTCTATTTGATTTTTTCCCAATTCCTCTGTCACTTTTTATAATTTCCTTTTAACCAGTTACTTTAAAACTTAGTGGCCCTCAACAGCAGTCATTTACTTAGCTCACAATCCTGTGGGTTAGTCATTTAGACTGAGGCCATCTGGATGGAACTGTACTCCATCATGTGTCCTGGATAGCTGTGTATTGGTCAGGTGGCTTAGCTTTTTTGTGATTTGCTGGCTGCCGCAGTCCGGCTGCGGGGGGGGGTGGTGACGAGCAATTTGCGTAGATTGATACAGCAGGAGTGGGAGCCCTTTATTGTAGGACAATAGAGGTATTTATACATTCCACACAGCTTATCTTAATCAGCATAAACTAGATACAGCAGTCAACCAATAAGAAATCTCCACACTTAATGGCTCGCTGGCGCCACCTCACAAACCACTCCCCCTGGTAAAATACCAGGCACCATCCTGACTTGTTTACACATTTACTGCATCCTATTAGCTAAATTCAACATGGTTTGAGGGCTGGGGATATAGCTCAGTTGGTAAAGTGCTTGCCTTGCATGTACTAAGGCCCTGGGTTCTAATCTCCAGCTTAAACCCCCCCCACACACACACACACACTAAACCTCAGCTCAGTTTGGAGAGGAGGTGAGATAGAGCCTACCTTTTTCAGAGAGGAACTGCAAAGTCAAATTGCAGAGGATGTGGATACAGGGAAGGCTGGAGAACCTGAGGAATTTTTGGAATCAATTTGACTCATATGTAGGTAATCTTTTATATTGTCTTTGTCTGAAAATGCTAGTATCTGGTGCCTTTGCAGGTCCAATTTTTCTTTGGGGGTGTTTGTGCTGTTTTTACTTTTTCCCATTAATCTGTTTTCCTTCTGTGCCCAATTATCTTTTGCTGTATACTGGACATTTTTTACATGGAAAAGTATGTATGACAATAATTTGAGCTGCATCATATAGTGCTTTCCTGTAAAGGGAAGGATGCCTCTCGTGTTTAATCACCTTAAAATTTTTCTTAATTTTTAGTAATGATTCAAGTACAAAAAGGTGATTGTCTATACCATCAACAACGGGGAAAATTAGAACTTCCCTGGGGAAGATGCTTGGCTTCAAATAATCTCCCTCACTCTTGTATGGACCCTGATTTGTGTCAGGAATCAGCCCCTTCAATTACAGCATCAAGTCAGGTTCTGTCATTGGGCCAATCAATAGCTCCTTCCTGTGGAAAAGATTTCAAGACTGAGCCCAAATCCACCGCTTTTAAGAAGCCATCCCAAGTGAATGTGCTTTTTTCCCTCTTTTGAATCCTATTAGCACTTGGTACTCTAATGAACTTTCCTGCCTCAGTTATTTATGTACTTGTTTCAATTGTAGAGACCCTACAAATTTATTACCTTTAATTAATTCTGTTTATTTCTCTAAAAAAAAAAATGTGTATGGTATAGTACTTATTGTAGCAGAGCAATTTGAGGAGGCATTTTTTAAAACAAGATTATTTCCCTGAGATTTTTTTTCCTTAGAGCTACTTCCTGCTTCCATTCCAACCATTCCCTATTCCTTTTTTAAAAAATTAACACTTTTTTTAATATTTATTTTTTTTAGTTGTAGTTGGAAAACATGCCTTTATTTATTTTTATGTGGTGCTGAGGATGGAACCTCAAGCGCTTTACCGCTGAGCCCCAGCCCCTCCCTATTCCTTGTTTTTAAAAAAAAAAAAGATAATTCTTAAGTTCTTTATTTTCTTTGTGGATGGACACAATACCTTTATTTTATCTATCTTTATGTGTTGCTGAGGTTGGAACCCAGGGCCTCGCACGTGCTAGGTGAGCCCAGCCCAGTGTCCCCAAGCTCCTGAAGCCCTCGGCAGTGCCGCCTCTCCCCAGTTCTACTGGTGGCCGACTCAAGCCAAGGAAGGCGGACGCCTTGGAAGAGGGCGAATCCTGCGAGATCCCGGCCCTTTGTCCCACTGCGCCCCAAAAGCCTTCTGCGCGTCTGACCCCCGAAGGTGGAGATTTGAGACAAAGTTCTCTTTTCCTTAAACAGGGCCTTAAGTTCAGCCCTCTCGCATCGCGCCTGCTGGGCTGCAGACGGTGGGAGCCTTCCTTCTGGTGGCACTGCCCCACTCAGCTGCGCTGGGGTGGAGTCAGGTACCAGTATTTCCCTTTTTCCCCCTTTCTTTTCTTTTGGTGCTGGAGACTAGACCCAGGACACTCAACCGCTGAGCCACATCCCCAGCCCTTTTCATTTGAGACAAGGTCTTGCTAAGTTGCTGAGGCTGGCTTTGAACTCGCCATCCTCCGGCCTCAGCCTCCAGAGCCGCTCGGATGACAGCTGCGCGCCACCACATCAGGCTCAGAACTGATATTTCTAAGAAACGGTAACGAAGTGCACAAGTGTTAGCTAGTGCTACCATTCCTTAGAAACCCCGTGACCATGGCCGAAAAGTTCTCACTAACGTAGAAAAAAGAACCCTACCAATTAAGTCCCAGAACCCGTGCAGAATGCCGCGGTAACAGTGAAGACGCAGGGAAAGCTGCTCATGCGCAGCCCGGGACAGGACGCGCGGAGGTGGCGCGCGTGCGCAGTCACGGCGGGCGGAGGGGCGCGTGCGCGGTCTCGGGACGGCGGGCGGGGGGCGGGGCCTGCGTCCCGTGGCGCGACTCTGGATTGCTGCGCTGATCGCGCTCTGGCTACCCTGGTCGGCCGGTGCGCTAAGGGAGGCCGCCTGCTTGGGTCATGGATTTTGAGAATCTTTTCTCAAAACCCCCCAACCCCGCCCTCGGCAAAAAACCGGCCCCGGACGCTGAGGAAAGGTGACCCCTCGTGTTCTCATTCTCTTGCCTCGGAAGCCGTGGGCCGCGTGCGGGATCGCGGGGCTGGGCGGGCGGGGCGAAGGCCGAGGCTGGGCGGGGTGGGGGCTGAGGTCAGCCGAGGCCGGGGCGGGCGGCGCCCTCGCTGCACCTGCTCCCCGGGCTGGGGGCGCGTCCGCGTTCTCGCCGCCCTCCTGGGTTCCTGGAAGCCCCGGAGCGCTGCGGTTGGCAGTGGTTACCCCGGACACGTGCTGGGCTTTCTCCTAGCGAGGACGAAGCCGCGAGGTCGTTAAGTAGTGATGGTTAGGTCGTGGATACCTCCGCCCACGGCCCCCGACGGCCACCAGTGGGGTGCGAGGACCGGAATAAAGCGCGCATGGAGAACGAGCTAGACAGCCGGCCAGGTGGTGCTGCCTGGTCCTCCCCTCGGTGGTGTCCAGGGTGGGGTCTGCACCGGTGTCCATTCACTGCTCATCCTTTGAGTTTGAAGTGTCCTAAGTCTGTCTTCTATGGCCCCCTCTCCCCCAAGCCAACCTGGACACCGTCGTCTCCTCCTCCATTTCTCTCCGGGCGTGTCTCCGGCTCGGGTGGGCTCAGCTCTTGGGTCAGTCCTCTGTTCCCGGCCATCTCAGGTACCTGGGTCGAGCTTCACCTTAGTTGCCATCGGCAGCAGCCTTGCTGTGTGCGTACAAGAGTGTGTCCTTAGTCCTCACAGTGACCTTCAGGAGGAAGCTGGGAAGCACCCGGAGGCTGAGTGACCTGCTGAGGTTGCACATGGTCCATGGCAAAGCTGGGATTCGGTGGCCCAGACAGTGTAGCCTGTGCTTTCTTCACCCAGCTTCTAAAGTGGAATTACCAACACTTAAAATAAGACCTATAAATATTGGAAAGAGACACTAGTTACTTGCAGATAATATGAACACCTAAGAAAAAGAGAAACTAATTGATAAACTTTTAAAATACATAAGAGAATCTGAGGTGAATCATCACAAAAAAGAAAATAGGAAAACACAATAGTAGCTACCAACTTGAAAATGCATTGGACAGAAGAGCCATTCACAAAGCTTGACCCAAGTACATCAGTCATTTGGAATTTGCCACCCATAGGTGAAGGATGGTATGGAAGTAGAGTGAACTCGTCGGCTCATTTCCATCTTTTGTCCATTTTTCTGTTTGGCTCTTGGCCTTTTTGTTTCAAATTTTAGGTTCTCTATTTTATTCTTAATTTGTCTTAATTTTAACTAGTGGCCTTTATCAGTGTATTAAAAGTGTAGGAGGGTATTCTGTTTTATGCAATGAAATTAATTTGTGTTTTGTGGTTTCTGAGTTTTTCCTAGTAACTGTGATGAGAAAACTTATTGATTCAAAATAATTTTTTACATTTTTATTGGATACCTGCTACATAGGAGACTTGCTAGGCCTTGGAATTGTAGCAGTGAACCAACAAAAGACAAAAATCCTGGTATTCATGAAGCGTGTTGGGAGGCACCAGATGATGCACAGATGTGTAGTATTTTGGATGATAAATGCCATGGAGAAAATGACAGGGTAGGGGCTGAAGAAGTACTGGTTGGATGGTTGAGAGCATGTAGATATTTTAAAGGAGGTAGTTAAGGAAAAGCCTTCTTGATAACTTTGGTAACATTTGAATCAGGACCTGAAGGAGGTGAGGGCTGATGACATTGTGGAGACACGTTTTTTTGGGAGGGGCCCAAGGCAGAGTGAGTGTGCTGTGGTTGGGTGCAGGGAGCAAAGTGGCCAGTGTGACTACTGACGTGGAGTCAGAGTGTAGGGCCAAAAGTCTGGGAGGTACTGGGGAGGGCTTGAGGAGGTAGGTCATGTTGGGTATTTTGCAGGGGCCATGAGGAATCAGGCATTTACTGTGAGCCACACGTGATTTATGTTTTTATCAGGGTTGCTCTGGTTGTGTTAAGAGTAAAATGTAGGGGAACAGGAGCGCCTTGGGTCATGTAGTAGCAAGAAGTAGCCAAATATGGATGTATTTTAGAAATAGAATAAATTGAATTTCCTCAGGGATTGGATAGGTGATGTGAAAGAGGAATTTGGTCAGTATCATTAGAAGGATGGAGTTGCTGCGTAAGTTAGAGAATCTGGTTCAGGGAGAAGATCAAGTTCAATGTTGGGTATGTGAAGATCACGTGGCTGGCAGAGCTGTAGCTGGGTGTGTTGTATAGAAATTTGGTTTTGTTTGCTTTAAGGGGAGGGCTCTGGGATGGAGATTTGATGTTAAAGTCAGCTACTTATGGGATGGATGATACTAGAAGCAATGAGAGGTCACCAATGATGGGAATGTAGACAGAGAGCCACAAGGACTGACATGGGAAGATGGGGAACCAGCAGAGGAGACTGAGAAGTAGCAGCTGGTGAGGGAGAAGAAATGAGGAGAGCTCTGCATTCCTGAAGCTGACAGGAAGGGGTCAGCTGTGTGCCATCCTACTCAGAAGTCAGGTGATGTGAGAGCTCATCATCGTGGACCTTAAGGAAATTAGGTGAGGATTTGGAGTGGGCAGGGAAGAACAATAGGGTGTTGTGTTGGGGCACACACTTGTTCACTAGCGTCTTCTATTTCCCATCGCTTCATCTTTTTTGAGTTCATTTTTAGTTTTTATTTTTGCTGGAACACCCTTGGGTAATTAATTCACATGAAATAATGAATGCCTGGTCAACTTCTCATTCCTGTGAGTCTGAAAACAGTTTCTTTTCTGTCTTAACATTTCAGTGTTTGTCTCTCCTCTCTGCAGAAGGCACCCCACCTTCCACCTGGCGTGCCTTCTCTTCTTAACTATTTTCAAGTTCAGACAGCCTCTGGCTCCAGTTAAATGTTCCTCGTGGATGGACTTTGACCTATCACATTTATCAAAATTGCACTGTTTTTCTTCCATGCAAGTAGCTCTCAGGAGGCAGGGACACCATTGTGTCCCAGGATACAAGGCTCAGAGCCTGGTATATAACGATTATTCATTATTTGTTGAGTGAATGGAATGATGGTTGAATGGATGATTCATGTAGCTGCTGATTCTTGAACATTACGATTGTATGATCTAGAATTTCAGCCTTACAGTTTATTCATAACATATCTTGACATTTACTGCTCATCATAATTTTAAACATTATTTATCTGGAGTATTTGGAGTAGACTTTGAAATTTCTTTGAGGGGATTGAAGACAAGCCAAAGCACTAAATTTTAACACTATGGTATGGTATGAACCCTTTTCAGGTTGAAAAAACCCTTTTGTGTTATTTGATATTTTTGCTGCAGAATCGATGATGAAATAGATGATTCAGAAGTTGAAGAAACACAAGAAGAGAAAATAAAATGGGAAGTAAAACTGGAGTGTGAGCAAATTCCCAAAAAAGTAAGGTTAAGTTGGGATATTGAAAAACAGCTAGGAATGGATGTGCGAAATTAATGAGGGATCCTGTTTGTCTCATTGTAGTCAGCATTTGGAACCCAGTTAACTTACATCTAGGAAACTTGGTCACACTTTTTTTTAAAGTTAGCATTCAGTAACTATGTTGTCATTTAACACAAACTGATTCTAGAAATGAGTTGTATTTTATTTTTTTTTTCTATTTTCCCCAACATCGGATAATATGCCAATATTCCTTATTTCTGAAATGAATTGTAAATTGTTTCTAAAACTTCATTCCTATCAAATTGGATTAAAATGTTTAAGAGATTTGATTTGCTAACTTAACAGCATTAATGTATCTAGCTTAAGGTCTGTATGAGTTTGCTAGGTTTGGATAACAATACTGCACAAACTATGTGGCTTAGAAAGAAGTTCATTGGGGCTGGGGTTGTAGCTCAGTGCTTGCCTCACACACATGAGGCTCTGGGTTTGATCCTCAGCACTACATAAAAAATAAATACATAAAGTAAAGGTCAGTTTACAACTAAAAAATTAAAACTTAAAAAAAAAATCATTGCTCCATGGTTCTGGAGGCTGGAGGTTTGGGAACAAGGCATTGGCAGGGTTGGTTCCTTCTGAGGCCTGTGAGGAAGAATCTGTTTCTGGCCTGCTCCCTGGCTTCTGCTGGATTACTGGCAATTTTTGGCTTTCCTTGGTTCACCCTGATCTCTGCCTTCGTGTTCACATGACATTCTCCCTGTGTGCCTCTGTTAGTCTGAACATCCCCCTTTTTAAGGACACTAGTCATATTGGATTAGGGCCCAACCTGATGACCTCATCTTAATTAATTACATGTGTAAGGGCCTGGTTTCCAAGTAAAGTCACATTTTGAAGTACTAGGGGTTAGGACTTCACCATAAGAATTTTGGAAGGACGCAGTGCAACACAGCAAGGCCAATATCTGCTTCTCTTTTACCTCTTCTTTCCTTTGAACTTTTTCTTCTTTTTGGTACTAGAGATTGAACCCAGGGCCAGTTTACCCTACATCATCCCCAGTTCTTTTAACTTATTTTGAGATAGGGTCCCGCTAAGTTGCTGAGGCTGGGCTTAAACTTGAGATCCTCCCTGTTCGGCCTTCTGAGTTACTGGGATTATACATGTGTACCACCATGCCTAGCTAAACTTTTTATTTTTTAGTTGTGAACTTTAACTCTGTGGAGTTAACACCACCCTTTGTACTGGCAGTGAGTCTCCTAAGACACAGGTGGACTTTCATAGGGTACTCTTCACTTAGCTTTGTCAGCGGGTACAGAAGAGAAGAGAGCAGGCTGCATCTTTGTCTCCTTGGGAAGGCTTCCAGCTGCCCACGTCAACTCTTCCTTTGCCTTTTGGGGCATGTATTGCTGCCATGGATGAGAGCGAGGCTGACACCAAGCTGCTGCCACTTCAGTTTCCCACAGATATGTATACTGCTTCAGTCACACAGGCCCAGTCCTTCACGCTCACTAGTCCCTCAGTCTGTGTGTTAATTGCCACAGCAGACAGGCTTAGGGAACGTTGTACAGTCATCCCAAGAAACTTCCAAAAAACACTTCTGTGATGGACACCTGGGTTATTCCCAAGCAGATGCTTCAGCCCAGTTCTTGTGAGCAAAGAGCTCACAGATGTGTAGTGAACACACAGATAGTGTCGAGACTCATCGAAAACAGAGCGCCCAATAGTTCTCAAGAACACAAGCAACAATGAATGTTGGCAAGGATGTGGGGAAAGGGTACACTCATACGTTACTGGTGTGGCTGCAAATTGGTGCAACCACTATGGAAAGCAGTATGGAAACTCCTCAGAAAACTTGGAATGGAACCACCATTTGACCCAGCTGTACCACTCCTCAACATATATCCAAAGGACTTAAAATCAACATACTACAGTGACCCAGCCACACCAATGTTTATAGCAGTTCAATTCAATAGCTAAGCTATGGAACCAACTCGGGTGCCCTTCAAAGATGAATGGGTAAAGAAAATGTGGTACATAGACACAATGGAATGTTAATCAGCCATAAAGGAGAATGAAATTATGGCATTTGCTTGTAAATGGATGGATCTGGAGGCTGTTTTGCTAAGTGAAATAAGCCAGTCCCCCCCACACACACTAAAATGCAAAGGCTGTATGTTTTATGAAGGTGCTAATTCAAAGTAAGGGATGGGATTAGGGAAGAACAGAAGTCTGGATTAGACAGGGGAGTGAAGGGAGGGGAGGGGGAGTAGGACAAAGAAGAATGAATCAGACATTACTATCCTATGTGCATATGTGATCACATGACCAGTGTAATTCTACATCATGTGCAACCAGAAGGGTCAGAAACTACACTCCATATACGTCAAAATACATTTTATTATTGTGTATAACTAATTAGAACAAATTTTAGAATTAAAAAAATTAAAGTGTCCAAGTAAACACTGCAAGTGGAGAAAGCATTGCTGCCCCCTTGCTGTCTTAGCCCCTTTTTCCTCCTAGAGATGACTATGGTCCTAACTTGTGTATGCATCACTTTGTTCCTTACTTATTTAATCATTGCCCAGGAATGCAGTTTTTCTTGCCTGTTTTTATTTTGTGAGATTTACAAATTCTGTTTGCTACTTGTTTATTCTTTTTCATGACCACATAATAATACTTCATTATTGAATATAACAACTTTTGTGATCAGTGGGCATTTGGGCAGCCTCTCATTTTTGGTGGTTAGGGGCAGTGCTGCTGCCTTCTTTCACTTGTACTCTGCCATACATGTACTCTACATTTACCTTCTGCTGAATCTTAAAGAATATGAGCATCAGCTAAGTGCCCTGGTGCCCACCTGTAATCCCACTCAGGTGGCTGAGGTAGGAGGATCGCAAGTTCAAGGCCAGCCTCAGCAATATAGTGAGGCCCTAAGAAACTTAGTGAGAACCTGTCTCTAAATAAAAAGGGCTGGAGGTATATCTCAGTGGTTAAGCATCCCTGAGTTCTATCCCTGTACCAAAAAAGCAAAAAATAAATAAATAAATAAATAAATAAAAGTATGAGCATTACACCTAACTAGTTCAAAGCAGTGCTGCAAGAATATATTCCTAGAGGCAGTTCTGAGAGGCTGTTTCTATTACTCCCCACGCTGGTCTGTGCTTGGTATTGCTGCCCTTGTTTTGCCATCTGAGGGGGCAGTGTATCTCCATGTTGTTTTCATTTTCCAGATTACTGCAGATACGGTTTGTCTTTTGATAAGTTTGCCATTTGGGTTTCCTTTTTTGGTGTGACTGTTCAACACTTTTTGTCCTTCCCTCACCCTCATTAGATTACCTGTAATTTTTTTGCCTTGGTTTGGATATGAATGGTTTTTTATCTTCATTCTTATGTTGGAGTTACCTCCTCTTTTCATAGCTTTATTTCCATCCAGTGACATTTTTTTAAATAAAAACATTCCTAATTTTCATAGTCAGTTTTTAAAATATTTTCCTTTATTTAGTGCTTTAGGGTTTTGTTTAATTATCCTAAGATATGAAAATATTCTTTACATTGTCTTCTAAAAGCTGTATTTTACCTTTCACATTGAAGTTTATAATCACTGTGAAGTGTTGGGACTAATTTTGTTTTACTCTTTTTGTAATTACCACACCTAATTGTTCTAGCACCATCTATGGGAGGGTAAAGGGATGTTTTTTCCTGTGGATTTTCAGTGTTACCTTTGTCAAAATCAAGTGTGCATCTTCCACTGGTTTGTCCCTTCCCCAAGACCGCACTGCCTTCATTACCATGGCTTTATATTGAGTTTGATGTTAGGTGAGCAAGTGTTTTCTCTTTGTTTTTCTTCTTTTTGAGTATCTTGACTCTTCTAAGTCCTTTGCACTTCCATATAAATTGTAGAATCAGTTTGTGAATTCCACAGATAATCCTGGTAGGATTTTCAAAGGGGATGCATTGAATCTATAGATCCTTCAGGGAAGAATTGAAATCTTTAAAATATTGTCCAATCTTTATGCCTTCCTGAGTTTTGCTCAGTAGTTTTGTTACATTTTTCGCTAGATGGTTGATAAAACTATTGTAAGTTACATTTTTATTTATTTATTTTGATGCTGGCAATTGAGCCCAGGCCCTTGTGCATGTCAGGCAGGTGCATTGCCACTGAGCTCTGCCTGCAGCCCTACATCTTCAAAATATCGTTTTCTAGCTCTTGGTTTCTCATTTGGTCATTATACACCCCCATGTAGGAATGTGAAGGAGATAAAAAATTTTTTGTTAACATTTCTGAAAATAATCTTGAATTTATCCTCTTGATTGATAGTTTGGCTGCAATAGAATTAAGTTTGAGATCATTGTTGAGTGGTCTCTTACTGTCCAGTGTGGCAAGGGGAATTGGTTCTTGTTCCTTTATGAGTGTCCTGTTCTCTCTGGAAGCTTGTAGGTTCTTTGCTTTATTCTTATTGTTCTTAAGTTGGATGAGACTGTGAAGCTTTTTCATTTGTTGAGCTCTGGGAGTTTGAATTTTAGTCATATCTTCATGTATAAAGATCTTTCTTTTATTGTTTATCCTTGTCTTTTTTCTTTATAGTCAAAGAAATTTCCTCTTTCTATTTAACTTTATTTCAGAAATCAGTTTAACTATTTAAGAGCTCTGAGGTGAGGAGGGACCAAAAATAACTTTGAGAATTTAGAACTAAGGGGAACTATACAGATTATATGGTTTATTTGTCCATTACCTTAGTTTTGAATCAAGAACTTGGGTAATGAGGACAAGAACACACACACTTTTAATTGTCTGAAATTGTTATACAGGCAGTATAAATTTTGAATTGTTAGTTTTTTACTATACTTAAAAATTGGGTGCTGGGTTGTGGCTCAGAGGAAGAGCGCTTACCTGGCATTCGTGAGGCACTGGGTTCAATCCTTAGCACCCCATAAAAATAAAATAAAGATATTGTGTCCACCTACAACTAAAAAAAAAAATATTAAAAAAAATGGAAAAATTGAGT